GATCCAGGGACTCCAGGATCATGACCTGAGCCGAAGGCAGTCACTCAACCAACTGAGCCACCCAGGCGCCCCCAACGGCAGTTTCTTAATTGAAAGATAAGTCATTCGGGATTTTGTGCTTGGAGAGTAAGTTAGGGGATAAACAGTTTTGGAAACTAGCTTTGTAAACCATCTTCTTCCATCCTTACTGCACTAACAAACCAGTCTCTTTTTCATCTGGGCCAGTGGGCTGGAAACGTGATGCAGACAGTAAGACATGAGAGCCTTAGTTTTTCTTTAGGGATATACTATGGTTAATGGCATGCTGGCTCTCCACATCAGTTATGATGAGGATGATGTGAAAACTGGTTTACATTCTATACTTGTAAGGATATAAGGGGTCAGCTTTAGCATGCAAAATATAGCCATAATTGAAAAATCACCACGTTTTCTCCTAGAGTTTGATAAACATAAGTTGGGTCACAGTGCATTGCTATAAAACTGCCTTTGGCATTGACGTATACAAACCACACTTGATCCTTGAACCACACAGGTGTGACCTGCACGGGGCCACTTATATGCAGATTTTTTTGGTAAATGCAGTACAATCCTGTAAATATTTGCATTTGGTAAATGCAGTACAATCCTGTATTTTCGCCTCCTTGTGATTTTCCTGTAACATTTTCTTTTCTCTAGCTTACTTTATTGTGAGAATACATTATATGATACATGTAACATACAGCATATATGTTAATTGACTCTGCATGTTATTCCAAGGCTATTAGTAGTTAACATTTTGGGGGAGTCAAAAGTCACAAGTGGATTTTCGACTGCACGGGGCGGGGTATCACTGTCTCTGACTCCCATGTGGTTCCAGGGTCAACTGTATACTGTATTTCTATAAAGCTCTCAAAGCTATCCATTTTAAAATGAAGTGTTCCATTTATGCTATTTAAATCTTCTTCTAGTCTCTCTCTGGGACACAGAATTCTAGGAAGGAGGCTGTTCTGTTAGCCAAAATGAGACACCCCAATATTGTTGCCTTTCAAGAATCATTTGAAGGTAAATATGAGTTCCCCCAAATAAATACATTGTGGAATTTATTTTATGGCCACGAGGCTTTCCTCAAGAGTCTTCTGTTTGTTTTAGCTGAGGGACACCTGTATATTGTGATGGAATATTGTGATGGAGGGGACCTAATGCAAAAGATAAAGCATCAGAAAGGAAAGTTGTTTCCTGAAGATATGGTAAGATATGGTGCTACTGTTTTGTGTGCAGGAGGTGGCTGCCTGAGGTATTTTCAGCAAGTTCAATAGATATGTTTATAAAATATCAAGGAATAAAACTTCTGTGTTAGAAGAGTTTCAGAATGATATTAGTCCTATTTTGTCCTATATATTTCAAATTTTAAATTTTGTTGTACTGACATTGTAGAAGACAGTTTATTTTGCATGACTAGAGCATCAGAAGAATGAAGCCCAAATTCCTGTGTGATGGGAATACCTATTCTCACACTTTTTCCTTTTACAATTTAGCACTTTCCTTTAAGTCTGGTACTTCCTGCCTTTTTAAAGGAAAATTGTGTATTAAATATTACTGGAATGACTTGACTAAGGAAAATATTTAAATAAACACCCTGAGTGGGACTTAGTTTGATTTAGGGTATAACGTGTTATAAAAGCATTTGGTATAAATATTTTTATTTAGAAGTTGTGTTGTTAAAAATATGGATTCCAGAGAAGGAGATCAACCTTGGCTTCAAATGAATGAGTCTCCATAGCAAAAAAGAAAAAAAAAATCAGTTTGATATTTAATTATAGGTTCCCTAGGTACTTAGAAATTCTGAGTACTCTTGACTAGGGATTTATAAGAAGAAAATGCTGACTCACAGGATGGTTGACAATATAATGAAATCTTTTAATGTTAATAAATTAACATTCTGAAAAGGCAAATGAAAATCTGACATAATGATTACAGAAAGTTGTAACATACTCATTCCTTAGTGGTGAACTACCTTTATATATATATTTAAGAAATACTTTTGTTTGGTTGAATTCAAGAAAACCATAGTGGGAGTTTTATTGAACTAAATTGCTATTTAGATCATACACAAGATGATGGAACATGGGATTCAGTTTTTCTGAATTCCTCCAGGCAACATGGAATCTTAGTTGAAGTATGTAATTTTTAGGGGTTCTGTACTTACATTACGGAAAATCCAGGTCAACTAATGCCTGGAGACGATTCTTTGGGATTTGGGGTTAACACGAACCAGTTACTGCATTCCTGTAGTTACTGCATGCTCTTTCCTTACAGATACTTAATTGGTTTACACAAATGTGCCTTGGAGTAAATCACATTCACAAGAAACGTGTGTTACACAGAGATATCAAGTCCAAGGTAAGTGGAATACCTTTTGGGGCCTAAAAGCGAAAACAGAAACAAAAACTATTCCACTCGGTCTTTTGTCTGTGTTCTTCTCTTTCCTTTTGGGACATTTTCATTTAGCCTGGAAACATTTGTCAACCTAATATTTATACGAGCCAAGTAAGGTACTACCTGAGAAAGATCATTAAATCTCTTTACTAGTGTATGTTAATAGGTTTCAAGCTCTCTTTGCGAGTGCTAAGACCAGACCGTACGTTCTCAGAAGGTAAATCGTCGAGACCTGGACCTGCCCCATGGAGTCCCTCTGACACATTCCCAGGCGCTCCATCAGGCTCTGCCTGATATGGTCTTTTTTTTTTTTAAGATTTTATTTTTTTGAGAGAGAGAGAGAGAGTAAGAGCACACATGAGCAGGGGGAAGGGTAGAGGAAGAAGCAGACTCCCTGCTGAGCAGGGAGCCCCATGCGGGACTCTATTCCAGGACCCTGGGATCATGACCTGAGCTGAAGGCAGACGCTTAACCGACTGAACCACCCAGGTGCCCGTCTGCCGATAAAATCTTATGCTCACTTGTTTGATTTCTAAGCAGTGATCCTGAATTCCCAAGCAGAGGAACATGTAACTGTCAAGAGCGTATCTTATCCTTTTGTGTTCCGCTCCGGGACTCAGCTGTCAGCATCTCTACCCTTAATCTCCATCATCAGCAGGCTTTGAAAGACAGCTTCTCCGGAGATCTCTGCCTTGTGGGTGAATGATGCAAGACATAATCTCAGCCTTCTTTTTTAATGCAGAACATCTTCCTCACCCAAAATGGAAAAGTAAAACTGGGAGATTTTGGATCTGCCCGTCTTCTCTCCAGGTATGTATATCTATTCTGTAGTAGTGACAGCAATCAAAATATCCATTATTCAGGAATGCGCTGTAATTGTGCTTTGCCTTTTTATGGTTTTAGTCCTATGGCATTTGCTTGTACATATGTGGGAACACCTTATTACGTGCCGCCAGAAATTTGGGAGAACATGCCTTACAACAATAAAAGGTAAGTAATGTTTTCACTTGGTACAAGAAATCCCAGGCATGACTGCTTGGTGACAGGCACTGTAGCCGACAAGTCAGGTTTGGTTTTTGAAAAATATATTTGAAAGCAGTGTAGAATCTAAATGCCCAGGCTTCTAGATGAAAGTCACAGTTTTCTAACTGTTTTAATCAGAGCTGAAAGGAGCTAAATGTAAATGCCAAAGGAAAGGCTAGTCATTTCTAGGGAACAGTATGAATGACATGACTGCTTCTCACACTCTGCTGCTCTCACCTGTAAAAGTCCCGCAGCTCAGGTGGGAAGCAGGTAGCGGTAATTTTCCAGCATCACCAAATGATTCCAGTGTGCAGCAAAATTCGGGAACCACTGGATTATGTCAATGAGTTAATATTGGCAGGACTTGGTAATAAGTACTTGACTGATAGGTTCATTAATTAAAAGAAGATGGTGTTAAGACCCTATGATTTAAAACATAGTATTTTTCTGACTATAAGTAATAACGTGCCCATTGATGGAGTGGGTGAGCAGGGGGAGTATTGGAAATACAGAGATATACAAGAAAGGATATGGTAGTCACCTACTTTTTCACTGCTGTTAATAACATTTTGGTGTTTTTTCCATCCATTCACTTTCCCCCCTAAACCTAGTTTATGTATTCTATATATAACTTGGCATCCTGCTTTTTAAAAAATTTTATATTATATCATATTCATATCACCACATATTTAAACTCTTCACAAATATTGTTGTTGGTCTAATGATATATTTCCAATTTTCAGTATCATAAACAGTGTTGTGATTAATAGACCTTTGTACATAAATAGGTCATTATTTTGTAACACATTCTTGGCATGAATTCCTAGAAATAGAAACACCTACAGGCTCTTGTTACCTTCTGTCGAGCTGATTTCTGGAAAGAATATGATAATCCATACTGAATAGTTTCTTTTAAGAGTAAAATTGAGTGCATTGGGGACAGAGTAGCTATAAAGGAACTTACTGGGCCGATTGGGAAAATTTGAGTTTGGACAAATATTCGATGATATTATTGAATTAAGGTTAAATTTCTTGGATGTGACAATGGTATTGTGTTTATGAGGGAGAGTATCCTTGCTCTGAGGAGATACATGCTAACATGTTTGGGGGTGAAGTCTTTGGTGTCTGCAGTCTTTTTTTCAAGAAGTTCAGATATATATGGAAGAGGGCAACAGCTCACAAACGTGGCAAATTTAACAGTAGGGGAGTCTAAGAAAGAGCATGTGGACATTTACTTTTCTGTACGTTTGAAATTTTAAAAAAATCGAAAGTTGGGGGAAACCATTGATTAAAGCCATTAGTTAAAATGCAAAGAATATCACGTAGAAAAAGTCTGGGGCATGACAACTAGGTAATGAGAATGATGGAGGAAACAGAAATGCTCTGTATGAAGAAGGGTGGGCGTATGGGGCAAGCTATAGGACTCCTGTCTGAGTTTTGAAGAACTGTTTTGTGGAAGAATGAGTGGTCTTATTCTCTTCGTTTGGGAATGTAGAGCTAACATGGATGAGGGTTCCCAGAAGACACATTTTGGCTTTGGTAAGGAAGACCACTATTCCTTGAGCCATCCAACAGGGGCACAGGCTGTGCCCAAGGTAAAGAGCTATTTATCAGGAGGTGTGATCAAAAGGCCTGGGGTTGCTCCCAGATGGTCTGGGTGGAAGGTACACTGAATGACTCCTAAAGCCCTTCTTCCAACTATCCCAGTCTGAGTCCACGAATACTCCCTCCCGTACCAAATGCTGCTGAAATGATATCTGAACCACCCTGATTTGGAGGGTAGGGGCTTGGGAGCAGAGAGTTTTACTGTGAACATTACTGTTAGTAAGTACCTAAGTATTAGATCACACTTATGTATTTTATTTTAATAGCTAGGAATTACTGGTGATTTTTATTCTTATTGAAGGTAATTTTTCGTTTTTCTTTTCTTTTATATTTCATATAGTCACTCATAACCCATTTGTCATTACGTTGCTTCTTTATGCTTCCAGTGACATCTGGTCCTTGGGATGCATTCTGTATGAGCTCTGTACCCTTAAGCATCCAGTAAGTATGGTGTGTAAAATGGAAAAGGCAGCCTCTTGTCATATCTGGCTAAGTCCTTAGTAATGTGCCAGATTCCACTTGGCTGTGTGCTTCCCTCGGACGCTGTAGGAGCGCTGACAGCATTGACTCCATCTTTGGCCTGCCATCTTGTCCTTCCCTCTGGTGCACAGGTGGTGTCACTTTGGATAACTAACCCGTGACCTCACCACCATGCCCCTCCCTTCAGAGAAGCTGGGGGTTAAGGTCCAGATAGTTGTGGAGAAGGGGTGGAGAATAGGGCAGAGAATAGCTGTGTAAGCCCTGCATTCCCCTGCCCATCTTGCCCCCAGCCCATTGCCCCTGTTGGTAATTACCCTGCATAAAACTCTCCGTAAATGGTATGGAGTGGCTTGCTTTGTTTTTCAGTATTAAAGTACCTTCTTGGTGTGGAGGATCCATTACTGACCCTCCTCCGCCTTCTAACAGATGAATTCATACCTGTTTCCATCCCCATCCCTCCCCTCCAGCCCCTGGTAACCTCTAATCCACTTTCTGTCTCCGAGAATGTGCGTATTCTAGATATTTCATGTAAGCGGAATTATACAGTACTTTTCTCTTTGTGTCTGGCTTATTTCATGTAGCATAATGTTTTCAAGGTTTATCCATGTTGTACCACGTGTCACAATTTCATTCCTTTCAATGATTGAATAATATTCCATTCTGTGTTTATACCTTGTTTTGTTTATCCATTCATCTGTTGTTGGACATTTGGGTTATTTTCTCCTTTTGGCTATTGTGAAAAAAAAATCATTTTTATATTTATTTTTTTCAAGATATTTTAAGAATTAGTTTAACAAAAAAGAGGTTAAATAATTTGGCCGGCTAATTTAGCAGTTATTTATTACACAGAACGAACAATCATAGCACTCGTCCCTATTAAGTCTTAGCTTTTCATAGAAATAAATTCTGTCCTTTGGGTACAGAGTGAAACTTAGCTCTAACCAAGCATTTTTTCATTTTTTAAATTTTAATTGAAATATGGTTGACATAGAGTATTATGTTAGTTTCACGTGCACAACATAGTGATTCAACACTTAACATACATTACAAAATGCTCACGGTAACCATAGTTACCGTCTGCCACCATATGAAGTTATTGCGATATTATTGGCTATATTCCCTGTGCTGTACTTTTCATCCCTGCAACTTATTTATTTTATACCTGGAAGTCTGTGCCTCTTAATCCCCTCCACCTGTTTCGCCCATCCCCACCCACCCCCGGCAAGCATCTTTACAGATGGGCCTGAGAAATATGAGAGTGAATGATGGAGAAAAAGCCTTCACCACCACTAGGTGAAAGGCACTCACACTGAAACCACATGCTGTCTTCCTCGAATGTATGTGGTTTATAACGTCAGCTGCATCGTTAGAACAACTTGGGAGACTTTGCAAAATGGCGATGCCTGGGCCCATGCCACACTAATTGAATTGAAACCCATGAGGGTGTCCTGGACAGTAGTATTTTATAGAACACGTGATTCTAGGCGTGCCTGGGTGGCCCAGTTGGTTGAGCGTCTGACTCTTGGTTTCAGCTGAGGTCATGATCTCAGGGTCATGAGATTGAGCCCTGAGTGGGGCTCTCAGCTCAGCTCGGAGTCTGCTTGAGATTCTCTCCCTCTCCCTCTGCCTCTCCCTCTCTCTGCTCACACCTGCTCTGTCTCTCTCTCTCTCAAATAAATAAATAAATCTTTAAAACAGGTGATTCTAATGTGCAGCCCAAGTGGAGAACCACTGTTTTATACAAATAAGATTATTTTTAAAACTCCAGTATCTTACTTATTATATTCTTTATTCCCCTGATTCTTTTTTTTTTTTTTTTTTGGTGAACTTTCATATACATGTTCTTATTTTTTCTAACAAGAATAAGAATTAAGTGCCCTGATATTTGGCACACAATCTGTTCTCTCATCTGCTTTGAGGCAAAAGTAGTTCTCAAACCTTTAGGAAATGCAGAAACCTGGTATAATGTTTCAAAAGCCAGAGACAAAGCAGATTCAGTCTCATTTTTCACTACCTGAATTTTTCCCTTGTTATATGTTGACTTTTTTTCCTTTTTCATATCTTCACTTGCATATTTTATTAATAGGGTGCATTTCCAAGGCAGAATGCGAACATGCTCTTACATAAGTATCACCAAGACTAACACCTAATGTTAATTTCGGTGTTTATTCTACAGTGAAGATTTTTTTACATGTTATTCTGGCATGTCATTTTGATTCCCATTCTATTGCTTGTCAAATTTTAATAGCTACTTTGATGACATGAAAGGTAAAAGGGATCTGGCAGTAGACGTTTAAAGCTGGAATAGTCTGGAGTGCATATCACAAGGGGGCAGGACTAGGGGGTTCTGGGGAGGAATGAAGCAAAGGGATGTTACACTTATTGTAAGCCTGTTAGTACCATTGACTTCTTAAAAAGCTACACGTATGCATTACTTTGATTTTTAAAATATGTTAAAAATGTGTATCTGCACACACATTGATTATAAGTGATAAAGTATCCAAAGCTGGAATCAATGCTAACCCTTTCTCTAGATGGGAAGGTTTTGCACTGTTTATGTTTACCTTCCTTCTGAACCCACCGTAAGATTTTGAATAGTACCTTAAGGCTCCCTCTGGGAAGAAAAATGACCAGGCAGCAGATACTTTTATAAAATTAAATTAATTCATAAAAATTCCACTGAGCTGATAATTTCTTCCACT